CCATGTTTTTATTTTCCCCCACTAAACCAAGCTATTTGAAATAGAAAAAAAGGTGAGAGTGAAAATGATACATTCTGTTTGTGTGTGTGTGTGTGTATGTGTGTGTAGTCGTCTTCGGTTTGATCTTTTTTTTAAGGCACAATTTATTGACTGTGCCAGGCATAGTACTAAATAGACAACTTCGTATAACTTGTCAGTGGTTTGTTATCTTTTTCTCTATAGATGTTGTCACCCACTTTCCAAAGTTTAACAATCATCCACCCAGGCAGGCAGCATTTATAGAAATCCCACTATTGAAGCGGTTAAGCACACAGGCTCTGGAGTCACATGACCTTAAGTCAAATCCTGCACCTACTACCCTGCATGATATTGGGCAAGTTACTTAATCTCTCATCTGTAAAATGGGGTGGTACAATCAACATCATAGGTTTTTGTGAGAATACATGAGAAGTTATACACATATAATATTTTTAGAATAGTGCCTGGCACAAAATAAATGTGCAGAAAATGTTAGAAGTAATATGTGGGGTTTTTTTAAGCTTGTGCTACATCGAGGATACTAAGAAAAGTTGAGGCACCTCCTTATATGTGTTGGGCACAGCAGTAGATTTGGGGGCGTTGTTCTGGGAACAAATGACCAGCAATGTAAAAATTCCAAAAGCTGGTATTTGGTGGTATATACAATTCACTTATTAAGAAATTTTACAATCATACATACAAATCGTTATTGTCCCTTATAGCTATCAGATTCTTTGACTTCATATAAAAAAGTTACTTGTTATAGGCATTACTGCTTACATGTCCTTTCTCTGTCAAAAATATTCACTGATGAGAGTGATAATGTGTAACTACTAGAGCAAGAAATCAAACATGGCTCTTTCAAGTTCTCAAAGAGTTTATAATTCAAAATTAAAAACAAGCGTTTATTCACAGTTCTCTCTTTTGTGCTTTTTGCATTTTATTTATCCATTTAAATTGATATTTGTTGCTCTTAATTAAAATTAGTTGGGTCTAGTATTTGTCTGACTCCCCCATTAAATTGCAATCACCTGGGGGAAAATATTGTGTTTACAGCTGGAGTTGAGTTTAAAAAAAAAGAATACATTGAGCTTTTTTGTGTCTTACCCAATTATACATTAAACAGGTTTGAAGAGATACTATCTCTTCCCAAGCACATTCCAAAAAAAGCACAAAATTAATGATGCATTCAAAACAAAAGTGTTCTATTTCATTTTTATTCATCCTACTTGCTGAAAATCTTTAGAAAATGCAGATTAAAACACAAAGTTTCCAACCTTTTTTAATAGTTCTGTACATTTAAATCTGGGTGACTTTCTTTTGACAGTTTCTGAAGCCAAAAGTATTTTAAGTACTGAAATAAAAACCTAGCCCTAGTAACTTTATTCTAAAATTAACTGTTTTTACCAATATACTTACAGATATGCAATACGTCTTAAATTGCCATAGAAATAATTACTGTCATATATGAACTAATTTCATAATGATTATGTAAAATCTGTCAAAATTAAAAGATAAAGGACAATGCTATTTTTCCTTTGTGACAAGGAGTTACGTGTTACTACTGGAAATTTTACTTTCTTCCTTGAAATACCAGAAATTCTTCTGTAAAATAAACACATCTCATCAAGACTCTCTGGAACTAGTATAATTACCAGAGGCAATCGCTGTGTTAGATCAAAGAAACAAAACAATAATAGGCAACGTGTGACCTCTACCATGTCACCAGAGACCAATTTTTCAACAAGGAGAAGAGTCAATAATCCAGAACAGAAAACATTAAATAACCAGAAATGCTTCCAAAGTGTGGCTTACCACATCCATCAAGGCTGCCACACTCAGAGAGTTAGGAGTCTCTATGGTTTCCGAGAGAAAAAACTTCTGGGGATTTATCACAACAATCATTAAAATCTGCATAAAGCACCAGAGGCAAAAACCAATTTCCCAAATGCAGAGTAGAATTTCAAAAGATACTACAATGATTTTCCAAATTTCATAGGACGCTTTAACAAGTATAAGGGGAAGAACACAAATGATTAAATATTTTGCATGTAACATTCACCTAATTTTTCTCATTTACCTATCCCCACTTAATTTTCCTAAGAAATTGTTTGGAAATCAGGCTATGAACATTAACCAGATAAATATAATTAATAAGAACACATTAAAGACTTCTGCAGGTTTTTTGTTTTGTTTTCGTAATAATAAAACAAAACAGGGGCTTTGGTCTCCTTTGTAATATATGTAGTTGACTAATAAGAATTATAAGGGTGCAAAGAGGGGTAAAGAAATTCCCACTCTCAGTAATTAGAGTCAAATAGAAATACATTTAAAATTGACTTTTAAAAAGCACCACGAATAAAACTGTGCCTTGGAATCAGCAAAATCTGACTGATTTTCTTAACTGCTACTGCTGTCTTCTTTCAAAATCAGATGTGAGTTAGGAACTGAACACACGTATCTGAATTATTTAACCTGCAAACACTCATTCAGCTGGTAATTCAGATAGTAAAAGAGGGGCTTAGCTTAAAAGGAAAAGCACTGGAAATTCAAAGCAACTGTGAACATTCTGGTCTTATAGGGATGTGTTACTCCTGCTGCCTTCAGCTTTCCACTTGGTCATCTGCTCCTGACTTTCCATCTTCTTATCTTATTAACATTGCTAATTGTATTTGTCAGTTTTGCCACAATTTCAGTGCTACTTAAACAGCTGTGGGTTTTCTTTAGGCAATTATCAGTCACTACACTTAGGTTTCTAAATTAGTTGTTGAAAGGCACTTTAACCTTGAAAAAATAGACACAGAGCACACTGCACCGTTAAGCCTTACATGTATGTACATGTGGCTTTAAAATGAATAATTATTTAAAAGGATTTAAAAAATCACACCCACAAGTAATTCAAACTTATTGTAAAGTTATACATTAGCAAGAAAATGCTTAACAAAGCCTATTTTATACTACTCATCATTTTATCTTTTCCTCTTTACTACACGTATTGTAATACACACATTCTATGTCTAGGTACATGTATATAGTATATAAACTGGGCTATAAAAATACTGCCAAATTCCTCTACCTTTTACTACCTATCTGCCAGGTGGCAACACCCTTCGAAAGTCTCCACAATCATATAAGTGGTATCTTGAAGTCACGGGCTGCATGGCAAAGAGTTCTTACCACATGCAGATTGCTCCACTTTCTCCATTTCCTTTCAAAGAGAAAATTATTTATTCTATTTGTTTTTCTTATTCTCTATTCTTGACTCTGACATTGTTTTTCTTCTTACTACTACAAAATGCACAAGAAACACAGTCAGGGAGAAACCCAAGTTTTAAAGTTATTCATCAACTGATACCCATTTCTATGAAATACAACTAAATTAAAAAAACAAAACTTCTGTAATCCAAAAATAAATGGCACATGAAGTGCCATGTATTCCCTTTGTATGTTAAAATAAAGTCAAAGAACTTTTTAGAGTTAAGTTTTGGAGTTTTTAAAGGTTTATAATATCCTGCTTTGGGGTCAGTCAACAGCTTGTTAGAATAATTTTAAAATTAATGTAAGCTCATTCCTTACCCACCTCCCCTCCCCACCCCCAGACATGCCACTTTCTGCTCCAAGGAAAGAAAAAGGTGGTATTTCAACAGTGTAAAATTCTTCACTGAGAGACAAACATTAAAATGATAAACATTTTGGAAAGCAAAGTACACTTCAAACCCTAACTGTTCTTTCAGACCTATATTGACTCTTATAGTAGTTGCCAACATTTGGTAAGGATTATCCTTCCATTAGACAAAAGCAAGCATTCCTTAGATAAATCAGGAGTTTTTGCCATGAGACTCATAAAACCTTTTCACAACACAGATTTTCAAGAGAATCCTTTAAGGTTTTAGGAGGCTGCTCCTTTTACTCAGTAACAAAATACACCCCATGGTGTCTCACTGACCCCACTCAGCTGTCCTTTGACCTCTTCAATTGTTGAAGCCTAACTCCAGGGCCTGCAGAATTTGCCTCCCATATCAAAAAGGCAATGTTGCTTCCTCCTAGCACCTGGTGTAACAAAACGCAACAGTTCTCCCTCTCTCTGTCTCCTCTGCTCCTTCTCAGACCATTTTCCAGATGTTCCAGGCCCAAATGTTAAGCCAATACTAGGTTTCAGGATCTGCGTGGTCACCATGAAGGAACAAACAGGGACCCGGCTAAAGTGGCAATGACCCTCTTGTTCTTTTTGGCCTCAAAAGGATACGATGGGTCATAAAAGAGGAAAAGATCTTTGGCCTCTTTTGGAAATGCCAGGCTATTGAAGCACGTTTTAACTTCCAAAAGGAGGGAGCCAGTCTTGGGTTATGCCCTGAACAGACAAGAGTTACCTAAACAGTATCCCTAAATTCTCAATTCTAAGCACACTTTTGATTTTCTTTGACATAGGAGGGAAAAAAGGACAGTATCACCTTTTTTTCTTTTCTAAATTAAAAGGCTTCCAAAAATAGAAAAAGAAAACTTTTATAAAATTTTTAAAACATACATCTCAGGATACTATTATATGATAAAAAGTTTAAATATATGTGGTCACTAGATATGGTTTGGGTTTTTCTGCAGAGGCCAATAATCTAGATGTCTCTCTTGTTAGACAACTTGAAAGATAAAACCACAATCAACAAAGAAGAATCGAGAACTGAACTCTTATTGTCTTAATTTAGGTATACAGGAAATATAACACAGAGGCTGTTGTAAGAAAAAAAACCTTGGAGCTGAGAAAGTGTTTTGTTTTGGGTGTTTTTTTTGTTTTTGTTTTTGTTTTTTGGTGGAGAGGATGGGGGAGGGGAGAGGAAAGCAGGGAGGAGAGGAAACAGAAGGAGAGGAGCTCTTAGAAATATCTGCTTCATCAGTTTAAGTACCAAAGTATCTAAATTCTAAATATATTCCAAAAAATATTTGATCTTAAAAAATTTGAAAGGGGGCATATTATAATTGTACAATACCTTGGTTTATTTATTAACATTTTTGAATCACGTTCATGATTAAGTTGGGCTGTCAACACTTCAGGGAGCCTGTTGCCTAGATTTTACTTGTTTAAAGCTTTTTTGTACCTGCAAAAACATAAAAAATAATATATACGTAAAGACATGAGTTAATTTCCAAATGCATTATATTCCATAATACGGTAATTTAAATATTTACAATTCTACAAAAATTCCAATTAGAAATGGATTATCAAACTCTTACACAACTCCATATGTCATAAATGGCAAATATAGATATTCCTCCTTCTTTATATACTCAAAAAGAATTTCTTTTCTGAAGAGTTCCCCCTACTAAATATAAGTTGAATAAATCTGTTAAGTCTGCATTTTGGACAGGTGTTACCATAATGCTTAAAGCCCAGAGACTATTTTTATTTTCAGAAATGAAATTAGTGAAAGGTAATTTCCTTACCCTAAGGAGTTTGAGTTTTATAATCTCTGGTGCTTGACCAAAATTTACCTTCCCAAAGAAGTATCAAAAATTTAAAACATAACTATATTGATTAAAATTATTTTTCTACTTTTTGAAATGAACGCTTTAATAATTTCCAAGGAAGAAAGCCTGCAAGAATAAAAAGAGCTACAGTTTCCTACGCTTTTGAGTAGTGTATTCTTAGAAGAAATTAAATAATTATAATTACATATAACTGGTTGAAAATTACAGTGTGCATATTATTCTCTCTGCTAGATTATAGTCAATATAAACTATTGCATGGAAAAAATAGAAAATACAGTCATAAGGCATCAAGTGAAATAAAAACTATTTGTCATTGTTTTTTACATAACTTAGAAGTGTTTCTATTTTGTTACTGTGTCTAAAAAGAAAAGAGGATTTTCTTAAGAATGGTCTAATTTCAAAATGCATATTTATGGCACTAAAACATTTAAAGTTATATTAACATATATTTCTAAAAAAAAGGCTTTCATTTTATTCTCCTTTTATGCCAACTTGAAAGAGAGAAAAGAACCATTTTAGATTTTGAAATAAAAATATCTTACCTCTCTTACTGTCAGAAGAACGTCTTCAGGCAAAAGAACAATTAAAAATGCAAGTCGCAGATTTTCAATCTCATGTATTTTGCACCCACCCACCCACAAATAGACATCTTTTTGTAAGTCAGGAGTCTTGCTCCCTCCATCCGAACCCAAGATTACCCCATATGGTCAGCAAGGTCAAACTGCATTACTGCCAATGAAACTATATGACTCCACAAGGACCTTAATGATTTTAAAAAAAGGTCAGTAATCCAATTCCAATTGCTTCAGAGTCTAAAATTGCTAATTTTTGGCCACGTGCTGCACACTTCACCTGCTAGTAATGACATTTTTGTATTTTCTTCTAATTACACTCAAAGCTAAGACCTTTGGCCCCGGGCCACAGACCCCTACTCAGGCTGCACACATTCTCTTAAACGACCTGATCCTTTGTTGTCACTCTTACTCTTTCATCTATTATTTACACCCATAGAGAAGGAAGATACTCCACCATTTGTATAGCTTAGAGCTTCTAATCATCTTAATTTCTTTGCCTTTCAACCTATGGTCTTTTTCATAGACGAACGCCAAAAACTTTGACAAAATCATTTTTTTCAACCGCATACACACACCACCTTCCCCTGTCTTACTCCCCGGCCAACCTCCTTCCTGTTCCTTCTCTACCACAGAAGGGACTTTGTATCAGCTGGGATTCACAAATTTTGACGTTCACCAACAAAATGAATTTCTAAATATAATACAAAATCTCCGCCTTGCTCTCACAGATCAATAACGATTGTATTTCTCTCATCAAAGAGCCTATTAAATTAAGTGGAAGGTTACTTAAAATTACTTAATGTCTGCCCCCCAGCCTCCCTAAGGCATAAGCATAGAATTTTCAGAATTCCACTGCAAAAATATCAAAGAAACTTCAGTAAACAGTAAGGATGTTAGTTATGTAGCTGAAACTTTTCAAACGTTTTATTATCTACAGATGCTCAAATGCTTACAAGAAAAGAAAAAAAAAGAAAAGAGGAAGGAAAGCATAATAAAAAATTACATATAAAGAATATTTATCTGTAATATATTACAGATAAAAGAATTTGTAAATCTTTACCACATTTTAAAAGACTAGTTCTCCAAATAGTAAAATCCTTACATAAAACATTCTATATCTTTGTAATTTCCCAACACTTTTCCCACACCTTTTTTTAAAAAAAAATGTCCAGACACATTTTGAAAATCCAAAGCACAGAATTGTTTACCATGATGCAGATGTCCCCTTCAGATCACAGCAGCCACCCCAAGACTCTGATTTCCAAGATGTTTATAAAAGGACATATGATCCATCTTTGCTCCCTCTTCCTCTATTGCTCAGCTTACTCTTGATTTCTAACAGTATTTCCTTGTTGTCTGTCCTCTCTGCAGACCCTGAAACCCCTTGTCTTTTCTTATTTTCACCATTTGCTTCAACCAGCAGTTCACTGGAGACCCATCCATCTTGTAATGCCTAAAGTGACAGATGCTCTCAGGAACCACCACACTCCTGAGTGAACAAAAGATAACATCACCTCTAGGAACTCCAGAGAGAAATACAACTGTAACCTTAAGACAGGGGCTGACTTGACAGACATTGGACCATAAACCTCTTCTAAGCAAAAAAGAAAACAATTGCCACACACACAAAAAAATCTGACACAATCAAAGGCAGAAAAGAGTGATTATTTGTGGATTGCCTTTTCACTCTGCAGCTCACTTTTCCCCCCTCAATGCTTTTATATTGGGGCAATTCACTTGCCAAGAGGCAAGAGAAGGTCTTGGGGAAAAAAGCCTTCCTCAAGTATCTTCTTTCATTCAACAATATTCAAAGTGAAATTCATTTACATGTGTGTTTCAGTAAATCTAAGGCTTATGATACAGCATCCTTAAGGCTGACCCATCTCGTTTGCATAAAGCAATATCTAGACTCAGAAATGCTGGCTCAGTTCTGCCGCTGTGAAAGGCATATGCATACTTTGCAAATTAAAAACACGTTAGAAATTAAAAAGCAATACATAACACAATGTCAACAATATGTGTAGCTCATAAAAGAAGCTCATCATTCATTCATCAGACAACCTCCAACTTGGGTTAAAGAGACGGTTAACAAGAGGATTCTGGGAAGGACTACAGCTCTCTTTTTTAACAAAGAAAAGGTCATATTAACATCTCCCAGCAACAAACTAATGACATGGATGCTGTAGATGCAGGGGACTCTGCTTGATGTCATCTAGGTTTTTTTGGGTTTTGGTTTTCATTTTTTTAAGTATCTTACTTAAAATCTTCATGCAGCTAAAGACAAATTTAAACTCTAACATTTAAATTTAATTTTAAATTAACTCTAACATTTAAATACCGTGAAGGGGAATTTTAGAAGAACAGAAAAACAACAACTGATTTGGAGGGCAATTAAGAACATTGTGATCAATGTCAATTATGAGGATTAACAACCCGTTTTTATAACAGATATCAAGGAACACAGAACTCTGCTGCAGCTAAATTCATCATCATTTTCAAACAGGGTAAATGATAAAAATATCTTTGTTAAATCTAAAATAAAAAGTCAAGTGCTCAAGAAAAGTTCTGTCAACCTTATTTCTAAGAAGAAATGCCAGCATTTACAATGGCATTTCTTTAGTACAAATATTTTAATTTTTCTTTAAAATTTTTGCACAAAAAACCTTTAAGTTACACTTATTTTTCTTTGAAGTCACTAATGACTCTTCTCATTCCTATTTTACTAAAAAAAATATAAAATTTAAAAGATACTTTATTTTATCTCTTGCATTTGGATTATTTGTTGGGTAAAAGAAAAATTTTCAACTTGATAAATCAACATATCTTTTTCTTAAACATTGTTTTATGTTTCCTTTATTTCCTCAAACTCTTCAGTGTATCTGCACAAATAAGATAATACAAATATTTCACAATCTCAGAATTTTCTGATTTTTATTTTAATACTGGCAAAACATAATGCATATAAAATAATTAAATGAATATATACAATTAGGTAACTCAATGGGGAAAAGATTAAGTAATTACAGACTGCTTATCAATATATAAAGGACTTGTTCTAATATGGACTTGATCTTTAACTAGACAACTTTGTTTAATACATATTGACCTTAGGTAATCCCCCCAAAACTGCTGGTCCAAAAGCACCACATCGTTCAACACTATCAAACTTTGGCATTAATATCAAGAGAGAGACGTGACCTTGAAATGGCAGTTCCATTGCAGAAACTCAAAAAAAGACCCAATTAAAAGATCTACTTTAAACACAATAGGATCAATATTGTATGCAGGAAAAGTACACCCCTGTGGAAAGTTCTTATTGTCTGACTGATCAAAAACAAAACAAAACTTTTCTTTTTTCAGGGCCTCCTCCAGATCACAGTCAGTGCCAGAAATCCACACAGGAAAAAAATCCATCAAATTGAAACCCTAAAAGGGTTTACCCTTCACCATCCTATTTGCACTTCAAAACCCTGTAAGGCCTTCAGTTAAAGCCCAGGGCTGAACCATTTCAATAATAAGAGAGGTGGCCAGCAGTAATTTATCTCCCATTTGGCCTCTGGACAGAGCTGTAATGTCTAGGAAGCTTCCCTTCCCTGACTCGAACCCTCCCCCAAGTCTCAACCTTCATTTGTGCAGCTTTGGATCTGCAATACCTTATAAACAACTTATATGCCCCTTCCAATCAGATGCAAGAACAGTTTGTAACTCAAGATTTGAGTACATTTTCTTGGCAATGCTTTCACAAAATGGAATGCTGCTGAGGTAATCAGAGCATTGAAAATACCAGGTTAAATTTCAGGTTCTCTTTGTTGTAGTAAGTTGGAGAAGAAAGAAACTTCCTTAACTTCAGCCTTTTTCTTCTCACACATGTTGATTGTTGTCAGAACTTCTTCAACTTTTTCCAATTTATACCTTGATATCCTTTACATTTTGGGCTACATCAGCCAACTTCCTGCAGTGATGTTCATGTAAATTTAAATCCTTGCATTGTAAAATATCTTAACAAATCCAAAAAAGTGGAGATTTCACAGGTC